GCTGGGAGAGACACCTCCATGTCCTAATCTTCTCTAAAGTTCACATGCCGTGGGGGCTGGTGCTGCTTCTTGGCCATGGGCTCCTGGGACACATGCCACGTTGTGCATGAGTGCATTGATCATCAGAGGGTGTCTGCTGACAGTTGGGTGGGCAGAGCTCAGCCTCCTCCATAAACAGCATAGAGATGATCTTGTTGGCTCGGCAGTGGCATGACAGAACAGGTCAGGATGGGAGCAATGACCTCACCTGGGTTTCGACAAGCACTGGAGATGTAAGTGATAAAGCATGTCGACTCATTTGTCCATACAAGCCGTCTGCAATGAACTGTGTGCATTGCTGCTCATTCTGTTTGTGTTGCAAACTCCATTTCACCTTGGAGGTTGGTGAATGCTAATTAAGCGGCTCCAGGGTTGTCTCTTACTGAGACAGCTCCTCAATTCCGTTCAACAGATTGCCACGGAGACATCTCAGTTTAAGTGAGAAATTTCTACTGAGTACCCACTATGATCAGACGGCGGCGGCTGTTCCCATTGACTCTAGATTGGAATTGCCTTGCCCTTCGTCTTTGCTCAGCTCTCATTCTATTTTTCATTGACACACTAGATCACAAACCAGGGATGATTCACTTTGCATGATAGGAAAGTTCTGAAAATGAATTGTTATGTATAATGAATAATGTTTTAATTGTACCAGGAGATTTTCCTATTGAGAGGAAGTTCTGAGGCTAACTTGGTTTTGAAGGGTAAAACATTGTTTTTTGATTTATCTCTTTGGTAAAGGAGAAATTTTTACTTAAAGGAAAAATAAGTCAAAATTTAATAACTTTAGGAATCCAAAACAATATCAAACACAGATTTGAAAAAAAAATTATTTTGAGAACCTATGAGCAGTGTATGCTAACAGGAAGAACTAATGTCAGGAAGACCACCAAAGGATGTTTGCTGGCCTGAAGGAGAGGGTGGTCTCACTTGCTGACAGCGGCTGATGGTGGCAAATCCCACAGTGTAAAAGATGAGAATCAGGAGAGAAACGACAGAGAAAGAAGAAAAGGGAAGATGGCAGGTGGTGGACACTCAAAGTGGCAGAGGAGATCAAAGCCAAATAGTGGAAGTGGCAGCAAACAGAATTGGCTTCTGTTTCCAGTGGTCTCTGGAAACAGAAGCCACCTGTCCACGAAGCTGTGTGATCTGACCTGCATTTGCTGCTCCTGCCTCAGAGTGCGCTGGCTGTAGATGGCCCGAGCTCCACTGTTTTCTGTAACCCCTGGAGGAATCATCATCTCCACTTGATAAACCAAGTAACTGAGTTTCAGAGAGGCTGAGCGGCTCACCCAGGTCGGCAGCTTTGAGTGGAAAAGCAAGATGTGGTTGGCAGAATTTTCAGATAGCCCCCCAAGATTCCTGTTCCTCAAGTACACAACTTGTGGAATCCCTCCCCTCCAGTGTTGACAGGACTTGTAAAGAAAACGGGAGTTCACTCTCCTGATGAGGTTACATTATACAGCCAGGAGAAAGAGATTGTGAAGATAATAAGTAAAGTTCCTAATCAGCTGATTTTAGAGTCAAAAGTAAACTATCCTTTTGGATGGGCCTGAGCTAATCAGGCGAGTGCTTTAAAAGAGGTTCTGGGCTTTCCCTGAAGAAAGAGAATTGAAATGAGAGATTCTTCTGCTGACCCTGAAGAAACATGCAGCCATTTTGTGAGCAGCCCAAGGAGGGGACCATGTAGCAAGGATCTGAGAGTGGTCCCTGGCCAGCAGCTAGCAAGGAAGTGAGGTCTTTGGTCATCAGCCTCGGAGAAATGAAATCTGCAACAACCATGGAAGTTGGAAGAGGAGCCTGGGCTTGATCAAGGAGCACAGGCCTTGATTTCAGCCTGTGAGACCCAGAGCAGGGTGCTCGGCCACGCCATGTCTGGACTCCTGACCCACAGACTGGGGGCTAGGAAGTGAGTGCTCTTTCAAGCCACTGAATTTGTGTGAACTTGTTGCACAAAAATAGGAAATGAATATGCACGGGTCCGAGGCTCAGGTTTCTGGCTGCAGAGCTCACATGCTGCATCCTCACCCCAGTCTTCCTCCTAGAAATCATCTCAAAAGTCACTAAATCCTGGAACATCAAGGTTGAATGAGGACCATTCAGTCTAATGGCTCAATACGACTTTTCCTGCACAACAGAAACCAGTTTTGGGTCCCTCTGTCGGTCGGAGACCTGCTCTGCTTGGAGATGGATGTGAGAGGCAGAAGCTTATGCCCCACTGGAGCCCCACTCCCTCCTCAAGGCACCCCTGAGGAACAAAGTGTGAGAACCATTGATCTGATCATGCAACCCATCCCACCTTTACATTTCCCTCTCCACCATCCTAAGCATGATTTGGATGCCTCTCTCCACTTGCTATCTGTAAGCCATCGTTTGGAAAGCTTTCTTTTTTCCTTTTTTAGTACTGGGTGTTAAACCCAGAGGTGCTCTACCACTGAGCTAAATCTTCATTCCTTTTTATTTTTTATTTTGAGATGGGGCGTTGCTAAGTTACTGAGGCTGGCCTCCAACTTTGAAATCCTCCTACTTCAGCCTCCTGAGTTGCTGGGATTACGGTATGCACTGCTGTGTCTGGAAAGTCTTTCTTTTGCTTTAAAACCTGTTCCCCTATAATTCTTGTTATTTGTGTGGGTCTAATCATAGGTAATAGAACAAATGGAGCTCTTCTCCTGTAGGACAGATTATCACATCAGGTCTCATGTTTCATGTACACTTTCTGTTTTCCAGACCAAACCCCTCCATGCCCTTACAGGAGTTTCCAGTCCCTACTTTCCTACTGAACTTCAGCAAGCCTGTATTTCCCTGAGAGTAGGGTCAGGAACTAAGCACAAACTCTTGGTGTGGTCTGCGTCTCATAAAACACAGCAAGCCTCGTTGAAGCCACAGTCTAAATATTCTGTTTCCATCAATGCAGCGTTAGACCACATTTGATTTTTGGCAACCCCTAGAAGTGCTGACTCATACCACACATAGCGCCAACCCAAAGGCCTTTCTATACATGTGGCTGCTAAGGTATGTCTCCACAGTCCTGTAGTTGGGTGTGTTTATTTTAACCTGAGTGCAGGCTTAACAGTTCATCACCCTCGCGTCTCATCAGGGATCTGTGGCACATCTTGTAGGATCCTGTTTATGTCATGCAGCAACATTGCTCTGTTTTCCCAGCATTGCCTCAACTCTCAATTTGATAAGTATGCCATAAATATCCTCATTGGAGTTATTGACAGAATGTTGGACCTGGACAGGGCTGAGGTCAGAGCCCTCTGGCACCACACTGATGATCTACTCCCAGTGTTTGAGTCTCTGAAACAGTTACAGCCAACAAACTGTATCATCTGATGGCAGCCATCCAGCTCCTAAGGTACCCCCAGAAGTGTCGTGAACTCTTTCCTGGCACCCAGGTACAAGGTGTTGAGTCCGCTTGCCCGACCTCCCAAGCCATAGCAGCTCCTCCTGAATGCTGGCAAGTGCTGTGCAGCATCTTTCCCACAATGGTACCACACACAACCCTCTGTAGTTTGCTTCCCTTGGCGGGGGGTGGTGGGGGGACAGCATTTTCTCCTACATTCATTTTTATCTTTGTCTTTTCTTTTTTCTCACTCCATAGGAAAACATCAGGACTATTTAGGAGATAATTTTTTAAAAAAAAATTATTTGTTCTTTCTAGATATACATGACATAGAGTGTATTATACATACATGGAATAGTATAACTTGTTCCAATTAGGATTCCATTATTGTGGTTGTCTATGATGCGGAGTTACATTGGTCTTGTATTCATATATAAGGATAGGAAAGATAAGTCTGATTCATTCTACTGTCTTTTCTATTCCCATCCCTCCTCCCTTCCCATCATTCCCCTTGTCTAGTCCAATGAACTTCTAATCTTTCCCTCCCTTGTAGTGGGTTAGCATCCACATATCAGAAAGAACATTCTGCCTTTAGTTTTTTGGGGTTTGGCTTATTTCATTTAGCATGATATTCTCCAGTTTCATTCATTTACCAGCAAATGCCATAATTTCATTCTTCCTTATGACTAAGTAATATTCCGTTGTGTATATAGACTACATTTTCTTTATCCGTTCATTTGTTGTAGAGCATCTCGGTTGGTTCCATCTACCATGGCTATTGTGAATCGAGCTGCTATAAATATTGTAATGGCTGCATCATTATAGTATGCTGATTTTAAGTTCCTTGGGTATAAACTGAGGAGTGGGATAACTGGGTCAAGCGGTCATTCCATTCCAATTTTTCTAAGGAATCTTATTTAGGCTATAATAATGAGTGTCAGCATACTTAAAAGATTGAGGAAGGGCTCTTTTGATTTCAGAGGAGAGCCTACACTTGGAGTCACAAGAAGTAGGGTAGTACACCAGAAAACTCAGTACAAGTTGTACGAGGTGGCTGGGGTACATTAAAGGTGAGGTCCACATGGGACAGGGTGGTGAGGGAAATGCAGGGTAAGCTGAATATGTTCCCAAGGTTTTCATAGGGCTAAAGTCAAGCAAACATCTGCAGATCACCCCTCTTTTCACCTGTGCTGTTGTTCTTTCTCTCTCACCCTGACTTATGTTAAAGCACCTGGGGAGGGGGGCATTGTTCTTGATAGCACTGGGGACAGCCTCTGCTCCATGTGGGTTCTAAGGATGGATGAGCTCCTCCACTCACCCCAAAGTGAAGATTCTGCAAATCCACAGTACATGGAGGGATCAGAAGCCCACATAAGGGCTGGGGTTGTGGCTTAGCGATAAAACGCTCGCCTAGTACATGTGAGGCACAGTGTTCGATCCTCAGCACCACATAAAAATTAATTAATTATTAATTAACAGTATCGTGTCCAACTACAACTAAATTCCGCCCCCCCCCCACAAAACCCACATGAGTGGCAGGGCAGAGGTAGCCCATAATTGTCAACACATCACTGCTGTCCTGTCTTGGTTCAATTTTTCTTATACTTTTCTCTTTATTCATATTCATTATACAAAAATGAAAGTTGCCACGAAAATTCCTGGATATTTATATCACCTAAGACCAAGTACCTGTATGAGATCACTGGGAAAGAAGTATTTTACTTGTTGCGGTGAGCTTTGACAACGTAGTGTCCACCTGCTGGTTCACTCTCTAGCGTTCATTAACCTCCTTGTAGCCACTTCAGTTTCTCTGGGAACAGGGCTGCTATTCTCCTTGGCTTCAAGTCCAATTGTTCTAGGGGGTTCCCTTGTCCTGTTGGGGGAGTGGGGTGTCCTCTGGGTTAGCTTTGTCCAATCAGAATACAAGGTTCTGCCATGTTTGTTTCAAGCCAAAGAGAAACAGAGACTTTGTCGTGGTTTCTAGAAGAGACAGCCTTGGTTCCTTTGGCTGCACTTGGCGCTCTCGGGTTTCCAGGCTCAGCCTTTTCAGTGGCCTTGCTTCCAGGAAGGGAAAGTCTGAGGGAGAATGGCAGCAGCACAGAGGCAGGAGAGAGGAGAGGGGAGCAAAACTGGACTCTGAGCACAGGAGGAGCAATGATGAAACTAGGCTTCGGTGGTCACTCTGGACAGTGAGTCTCTGGGCATCCGTTTTCTCACCTGTAAAATAGGAATCATGATATAGCTCTTCCTGAAGTTGTGTGAGGACCAGGGGAGTCCTGAGAAATGCCGAGAACAGTGCTCAGCACTGGTGTGTACCCTGCAAGTGTCAGTCTTCATCTGAGCTCTCTCAAGCTGCAGCTAAGCTGAGACCCACTCCTGGATTTTTTCAGGCCTAAAAAAAAAAATAAATTCTCTTTTGTCTTCACCAATTTGGCTTGTATTTTGTGTCATTTAACCTGCAGAGTCCTATTTAATAGTTTTAGTGAAACAAACTCTTACTCAGTTTTCTTTTTTGTCTTCTTTAACAATAGTGAGATAAAAATAATCCAAGATCAGATGTTCCTTTTCTCATTATTGCCTAATGGTGAAGCATTATCTTGGAACAGGCTAATTTCCTCTCCTTCCTTTCTTCTTGGTTGCAATTATTTGAAATTTATTCCCAGCATTCTTTAAAAAAAAAAATATATATATATATATATATGTGTGTGTGTGTGTGTGTGTGTGTGTGTGTGTATAGTGCTTATTTTCCAGCATTTCTTTAAAAAAAATTGCATGTCATGAAGACCTCTGGAATTGCAATTAGATGTTCGTAGCAAGCAGTATTCAATATGTGCAGTATTCTAAAATGATGATGTCAGATGTTTAAAATAAAATATAAAATCATTAAAATAAATATATATTAAAAACCAATTAATGTTAAAAAAAAAAAAACATACAGGGAAAGAGGAAGCCCAGAGTTGGCTGGGGCTTTGGGTGGGACTAGGGAGCAGATCAGAAAACATGGCAACCCATGCTGGGTTCAACTAGTGCTGGGCTGTGTGGTTAGAGAGGTCAGTTCTCCCTTCTATTCTGGTTAGAAGAATAAAGATAATAGCTGAGATTCCCTCTTTATTGAATTGAAAATGAATGAAAGCTTTCTTAATCACCTTAAGTAATATATTTAACTTTCTCTGTGGCTGAAACATGTGACTCTTAATGAGATTGATCTGCATTTTTTGATCACTTTAGAATTCGCAGTGGCTGTTTTAAGGTCACCCCCGCTATTCTTGTTCTTTAACTCAGGGTTTTTGTTAGTCTTTTCCCCTCTGTTTTCTTCCGTCTTAAAAGCCCACCTGGCCTTCTGCCTGAGTCCTTGCTGTCCTTAACAGTCATCAAGGAACTTGGCCATTTGGGCTGAGACCAGTAGCAGAGGCCCTAGTCAGCTTTAATTAGCAGACAGCATGCAGAGAGGAACAATAAGAAACAAAACTAGTAAACTAGAGAAAATGGAGACAAAGCCGCATGAGTAGAATCAGCTCTGGGAGCTGGGAAGAGGGAAGCCACAATGGTGCCATTGTCCCTTTTTCTTAGCATGTATAGCCAGGCCAGGCGTGAAGTGGGCACTCGTGGGCCTGTGGAGCAAGCGAGGGATGAATACGCGGGAGTAAGCATTTGGCCATGTGTGGACACACTTTGTCTTGCCAACTCCACCAGCCTGGGGTGGTTGGGGGAAGAAAATCACAAAAGAAAACCCAGGCTACCCGTGTACCAACACAAAATGCATTTTCCACTGCCCAGGTGAAAATAGCAGAAGCATTGAGTGAGGAACAATGTGACATTTACAAAAGCTAATAAGTCGCCCACTGACCTGAACCAGGGCATTTGTTTTTGCAAATTTTGCTGCTTATTTGCAAGTAAGTATTCATTTCATGCCTCACTATTTGGCTTTTAGGTTGGACTTAATTAAAAAAGCTGTAGCATCTTTGAGTCCAATTTCCTCTTTTTCACATAGCATCTGTCCCTGACAGCTTGTGTGAGGCTCTGCCACTTGTTGAGGCCAGGGCGAGAGAAGGAAATGACAGGGGAGAGGCGAGGTGGACATACGCCTCTTGTTGGAGGCGGCACTCTCCAATTCTGCACGGCCCAGTCACATGCTTAGGGGGCTTCTTGGTTTAAGCAAGGCAACAGATGTCTCCAAGAGGGGGTGCTGGCAGCGTCACAGAGGCCAGCAGGACTGCGGGTTAGGCATGAGTGAGCTAACGGGAGAGAGAGCCGCACATGCTTTTGCCCTCTGCTCAGAAGTGGAAAATAGGCCAAAATTAAATAAGGGCAAATTCTAGAACTGAACAGAGGGTGAAGGCAGAGAGAAAATACTTACTTGGAACAAGCATTACCCCGAGGGTGGTGGTGGAGGGAACTTGACTGCGTTCAAAGACAAACATGGCCTGTGCTTTCTATATTCAAATAGATGGCACAAAGATAAAAGCCAGTTGGGGGTTGACTTTGCCTATAGATACAACACCGTTTTTCTTTGCAAAACATAGCTACCTCTTTATACATTTACCTGGAGGTTTGGTTCTGAGTGTGATCAAGAAAGAGAACTGAGGCTTTCCCCCTCTGAATGTGTCATTCTGTTACTGGGACAAGATTATCAGTAAATCGCAGGCAACCCATACCTCATTTTAGAACAAGTAATTGAGTTTGTGGTAAGCAAGCGCTTACAGATGGAGCATATCCTTAATCTACTTTCCATTTGATGTTTTCAGTGTTGCTTTTAAAGCAGCTTGTTTGGAGTTCAACATATTAGGCTTTAGTTCTTTGGGGACTTCGTTCTTAAGTTAAAGGAATCTTTATAAATTGCTTCATCCCTTTATTGGGCTTTGTTCCTGAAATTTCTGAGACTCTGTATAATAGAGTCTGTATTATATGTTCTGTATTAGAGCACAAGGTGCATTGGACTAAATCTTCTGTGTTCGTGTTCACTTTCTAGGACTTTACACGGTATGTCCCTATCCCACAACCCCCCTCCCACCCAGATGTTCTGGACACATCTGATCTCTGGACAGCCCCTGTTGCTTTTATGCAAAGGAAACCAGCCTCCTGACACATGCTGCCAGAAGCTTCTACTCAGAACCCTGTTCCTTGTGGTCCTGGGGGTACCAAATGTCTAATGGTGCCCTTTCCCTTCCACTTGACATCTAAAGAAAACAGTGAGCCTGATTGCTAAGCAGATTATGACAGATCCATGAAAGAAGGCCATCTCTGGGCCGCATTAGGCTTAAACTCAAACATAGCCACAGGTCTAGAAAACCAGCAAAGTCAGAAACAATAGGGTGCACTTGGCTCCACAGTTTGAGACTTGTAAGCCATCAGTAAGTTTTACTGATACTTTCCCAATTATACAAGTAATAAGATGATATTCGTAGGCAAATTCAAACAAAGTATAGATGAGGAAAATGGACCAACTGCCTGCAAGTTCTACAGTTAGAAGTAATCACATAAATCTTTCAATGTTTATGTTTTTAATTTCCTACATATATCCACATGTAAATATTTTTCTTACTATAAAGATGTGCTCAGACTCTTCATATAAATTTTATTTCAAAATCTATTATGAACATCTTTCCATATCTTTAACTACTGGACATCATTTTAATGGCCATGCCTAGTTCAATTGCATGGATGGATTTTTTTTTAAACTAGCCAGCTCTTGTTAGACATTAAATTGATTCAAGTTTCTCTTTATTCTAATAAACTGTGCTGTTATGAACATTCTTATAGCCAGAGCTTTATGCATTCTTAATTATTTCTTTAGTATTAAATCCTAGAAGTTTAATTCTTAGTTTAAAAACTGCCATGGTTCTTGTAGGATTTACCTCACATGCTCTTTAGTAAGACACAGATTTAGGTGGCCAAAGTTTGCAGCTTCTCACAATCTGAACTGAGGAAAAGACAAGGAAGGGATTTCTGTCTTCTATTCTCTGGGAAATTTTGTGTGCATTTTTCCCAGCTATGAATTTGAAAAGTACTGAGCCTCTCATGTATTTTGGTTGTTCAAAGCCCTAAATTTTAGGTATATTTAAAAAAGGCCTCATGAATCACCAGGGATTGATGCTTTTTATAATTGTGTATATTTGTATGCATTGCTGGGAATTGAACCTAGGGCCTTGCACGTGCTAGTCTAGCACTGTAACACTGAGCTACCTCCCCAGCTCTTTTTATCTTCTTATCTTGAGGCAGGAGATTGTTGAGTTGTTGAGGTTGGCCTCAAACTTGAAAACCTCCTGCCTCAGCCTCCCAAGTTCCAGAGATTACCGGTGTGCAACCCATGCCCAGCTATAATGACAATTTTACCATGACAGTTATATTTGTACATCCCCTCATTGTAAGAATGTCTATAATTGTAGTCACAGGTGGCAGGGGAGGTAGAAGAACAGGGCAGTCCCTTAGTTCTTCTGAATAGAGATGCTTGTTTTTGATACGCTGAGCACTATAAAATATAGACTAATAGTATTTTACCGGAGAATAGAAAATACTTAAGAGAAGCCAGAGTGCTTTGAGACAACCTTCAATCCATTTACCAAAAGAGCTCAATATTTATTAATGTTTGGCCTCCCTTGTAATGGAACTCTCATTTCAAGGGAGGCCAAACATTAATAAATATTGAGAAAGGGAAGTTAAAAGGACATCAAGTTAATATTTTACTATCCCTTCTTTGATCTCGGAAAGCTTAAAATATTTTTCCACACTGATTTCATGCTGTATTGATTCCTCCCTGCCAATTGGCTTATTGGAGCAGGCACAAACGCCTCTCTTAACTACAGCTTCCATTTCCATAACACTTTACAACACCAACAGGTATTTATGTATTCACTGGCATCACTTCTGGATATCACCACTGTTCTGGAATAATCATTGCTAGTTTAAAAACTGGATCAGGTCATTAAAAGCACTGCCATGTTATTGAGTTGGGTCTCAGTCATGTAATAACATCTCTGGGTTGGATTGTATTGGTTTTGGAGAGGGGGAAAAAAAAAATCCTGGACTTCATTGATTCTGCCACACTCAGCTGTGTTCAAAATACATTCCGAAGCTGACCATCCTCATCTTGAAAAAAAAATGAAAAGTCTACCATCCTCATCTTGAAAAAATGAAAAGTCTCTATCCCCAACTGCAGTAACCTCTTAACTAACCGCTCTGTTTCCACGCTTTCCTCCCTTCAGTACATTCTGAAGCCGGAAGCCAGAGAGAGCTCCCCAATTGTAAGTCAGGCCATGTCCCACTGCCTCCTCCCTCAGAGGCAGCCCCTGCATGATGGCTCTTGCTTTCCTCACCAGTGCCCTGCCTGCTTGCGCTGATCCATGGAGAAGACAGAGCTGTCACAAGAGGGTCTCCAGGAGTTGCCAGCGCTCATCTGCATCTCCCAACCTCAGTGCCTGGATGCTCTGCCTTCCTGCCTTTTCTGAAGATCACTGTCCCTGCTGCTGCCTCAGTCACCCATTCCCTTCTGCACTAAATCTTCCCTCCCACCTAGCGCCCTGGTACCTTTGGATAGCTGCCCCTTTCCTCTTGTGCGTCATTGATTTTTTTTTTCCTTCTGCTGGATCCATTCCTAGCAGCATAAAAACAGGCTGTGATTTCTGTCATTTGAAGAAAAAAGAAAAAACAGAACAAAATAAATTTTTTTTTACCATATTCTCTTTCCCGGCATCCACCCCATTTCTCTGCTCTCGCTACAGCAAAACCCTGTCCATTCTCCCATTCTTGTTTGAATTCACTGTGGCCAGCCTTGCCCGCATGGCTCCACCCGCACCCTTCTCCTCAGGGGGGCTTCATGACCTCCAAGGTATGAACTTCAAGGGTCCGTTCTCAGTTCTCATCTTAATTGGCCTCTCAGAGCATTAGCGAGTATCGATCAATTCTTCCACCTTGAAACGCTGTGCTCCTGCCTCAGGCTCTCTGTTATGTCTCTGTTCTCACGTCTTGCTCCTCTCTCTCCATCTCTCAGCTCCAGACACCCTGGCCTCCTTCCTGTTTCTGCCCTGCCAAGTACATTTCAGCTTTCTGCCCCTTGGCTCTCTTCCTAGGTGTCTGCATGGCTCTCACCCCGCCCTTCCTTCAGGCATTGGCTTCAGTGTGACAGGTGCCATCTACATCTTTCCTTGTACTTTTTCTCCGCAGCATATCCGGTCCCCTGCCTCACCGTCTGTTTTGCTTATTTATTTCATTTATTGCTGGTCTCTGCTGCTAGGCGATAAGTTCCACACGGGTGGAGATTTTCATCTGTGTGTTCCCTGTTGTATCCCCAGTGCCTAGAACAGAGCTTGGTGCATGATAGGAGCTCAAGATGTATTTGTTGAATGAACAAATGATGAACTTTCTTGCTATTGTTAGTAATGAACTTGGAGAAAAATTTCAGTGAATCCCTTTGAGTCTTTCACTTTATAGGAAGTTGAAAGATTTTTTAGTTTTCTTATAGATATGTGACTTGAAAAATCATGTTATAAGTTTGGGGACAAAACCAACAAATATTTTGGAAGATGGAATACCTTTCTTTTTCTGCCAGTCTTTCTATATACACGACTGTCCGTTGGGAGTCTGTCCTTGCTGTCTGGTTGCTGCAGGAAGGTGCCATTTCTTTGCCAAACTGAATGACAAGGACAGAATCAAAAAGAAGAAGCCAGAGCTGAGCATGGTGGCTCATGCCTATAATCCTAGCAACTCAGCTGAGGCAGAAGGATCATGAGTTCAAAGCCAGCCTCAGCAAAAGTGAGGTGCTAAGCAACCCAGCAAGACCCTGTCTCTAAATAAAATACAAAATAGGGCTGGGGATGTGGCTCAGTGGTCGAGTGCCCCTGAGTTCAATCCCTGGTACCTCCTTCCCACAAAAAAGAAGCAGCTGAGATCTTGTCTCAATGTGGCATTTTTTGGTTCCCAAACATCATATGAGCAGACCTGAGTGGCTGCTGTAAATGTACCAATTCCCTCCTGCCCTTCCTTCATGCCTCCCAGGCACACAGGGACCTCACAGCTCCCCACTTCCTATTCCACGCATATCAGCACATGGGGGCATGTGCCTCACCCCCCCCTCCCCCGCCCTTGCCTTCTCTCAAGTATTTTTCCTTCAAAAACACCTTCTCTTCTAATCCTGCCTGTTGAAGTCCCTTCAAAGCAAACTCACCTCTGCTCCCTTTTCAGAGCTTTGCCAGTTGGCCTGGACTCCCCGATGCCCTGTGCTCCAGAGAATAGCAAGCCACAGGGCACCTCCATGTGCCTAGCTCATTGAGAACAAGGATTGTATCTTACTGTTCTGGTGTTTTCAGCACCAAGAAAATACCTGGGACACTGAAGGTACCTAAGGTAGTTAGAAATGTACACAAGTGGACATAAAGCATTTTAAAAAAAATCAGGTAAAAGATCATTCTTACAGATGCCCTTCTTGCTGGGTAATATCCTTCCCATCTGCTTTGTGACTATTTGTAGCTGCTGCACTTGGTTTAGATATTTTGCAGCAAAGCCCTGTGCCCCATCACATCTCCTCCTTCACCCAGGCAGCAACAGTGAGCTCCTTTGTCTAGTGCTTCCTGCTCACCCAGGGGCCCTGGCATGTGTCTGCTCATCTGATGCAGCAGTGGCCAGGATATTACCCAGGGCTGATGGGGTCATCCTGTTGTTCTTTGGCAGAGAAGGAAACAGGTTAGACAACACACACCATTCTATAGTGCAGAACTGGATATCAACTTCTGCCTTTCTGAAATCCTAGTCTTGGGTCTCAGTATAACCTTGCAACTATACCATTGCAGTTCTTAAGCAGAAGCTGTACAAGTGTAAATCCCAGGAGTCAAGAAAGAGCTAAAACTACGAACCAGGGCTGGGAATGCAGCTTCATGGCTGAGCCTGTGCTTTGAGTATGTACAAAAACAAACAAAGAAACCCAAAACTGTGAGTCAATCCATTCATGGTTATTGAGGCTTTTCCTACCACTGTTCTCACCTAGCAGCTCAGACAACTGGGGTGATATTTGGCTGTTGAGCCTAATATCAACTCACCCATAGTATTTGTTAGCTAGACTAAGAAAATGCTTTCAGAGGCATTTCTAAGTGAGCACCTGATAAGCAAGTTATTGACTAATGCAGACAGCTCTCAATGGCATTACTGCCATTGCCAGCAGAGGGGATTAGGCAAATTGGCAAAGGGCCTCCAGCCAGAAGGGTCTTGTGGGAGGCCACACTGATGTCTGAGATGCTGGGCATTGGGTCCCAGAAGAAGGAGGGCTGGCATGATCTTGGCAGCTGAGCTGTGCATGAGCACCTCAGGCTAGAAATATCCATGTTGAAGAAATACGTGCTGCAGCTGGGAAGCCCATAACCAGGCTTCCTCCAGAAAGGGAAGATCTGCTCATGGGTAATCACCTTTTTAAAAAGTCTAGCTTATCTCAAATGCATTTGATTAATTGTATACTAAAACGCTCTATTTGTAAGGATTCCAGATGATGCTGGGAAAAAAATGACTGCATTTTCTGAGTGCTATGGAGCAATCCAACAGAGAGATGTGCACAGTGCAGAGGGAAGGAAAGGTGCCCATGAGAGAGCATTTCCCTAGCAGACTCTTCTAGCTTCCACCTGTGGGTATTTGCATGCCACAGGGCTGTTCCCCACTCCCCATACTTTAAAAAAGGGGAGGGGCTGCTTTCTAATGCTTCACACACACTTGATTGAAAAACCAAGGGACAAAAGAGATAAATTGTTCAAGAGACATAACCAAAGATGGATACTGAATGAACTTATTAACCTATGAATTGCCTTGAAGTGCACAGTGTCACAGTGTGAATTCCCACAGGTAAACACTCTTTGGAAAACTTTGCCACTAGTTTGAGTCCATGCACAATGACAGAATCTCAGCTAGAAGGGAGATGCACTTGGGAGCTGGCAGATCCAGAGGATGCCTGATGAATGACTCCTCTATATCAAGAGAAGGAAACTCTCTTCAAGAGCAGCAACAGTACTGATCCATGGTGATTTCTGTTTAAGGGAACTCACTCTCTCTTTGGTCTTATCTGAAGTCTGTTTATCATGTGTGTTCGTGATGATCCACACGAATTGAGGCATTCTTGGCCCCACAGATAGTGTCGTCTGGGGACCACAGCCAAGGTGTACAGTTGGGCTGAGCTGCATTTTTGTGACTGATTTATGTTCTTCTAGCATTTTCAGAAATTTATGCTCACCTGATGCAGCAACACTGACTTTGCTTCCTGCCAGCTCTTTGCTTCATTGTTCTTACTTGTCAAATGAGAATGGGAATTCCACTTTTCCTCGGGGTCTTCAGATAATAGATTATAGACCTAGAAAGCTCAACATGTATGTACTATAGTGTTATTGATGACCATAACTCAAAACTCTGACTTCTTATAAAGGTAATGCAATTATGAAACAAAGTTACTGATATTACTTGGTATCCTATAATCATTCTTATATTTTTGTTGAGTTGCTATGAAAGCTTCTGGGAATCTATGGGAACTGAGATAGAAACATGAGTAACTGATACATGGGGTAGAAAGTGGCAAGCATTTTAAGAGGTAAGTGAGTAACTCTCTATGGGAATCCAAACAAAAGCATGCTTTCTCCAAGGAGAAGAACCAGAAAAGACTTGATAAATGAGGAAGGCTGGGAATGGGTAAAATTGGAAGGGCTGGGGATTCCCAACAGGGAAAACAGTGTAGACTGAACCCATTGGGTAGATTTCATCAAAACCTAAGGCAATGAGTACCAGTAGACTGGGAAGAAAGATTGGGATCATAATATGGAAGGACTTAGGAGTATGGACTTTATAACAAGAGGCAAGGGTAAGCATGAGAGTGTAGGATGAGAGAGACTGGAGGAAATAGATCAAATAAAAAATGTTAGTGTCTTTAAAATCAATGAGGGCATTTCAGAGAAAGTAGACAGTGGGTAGGGGGTGAGGCAAGAAAGACCCTGAAATGAGACAGGAGTTTTTGCCTTCCAAAAAAAAAAAAAAAAGAGAGAGAGAGAGAGAAACAAAGATGACTTGTGGTAGGAGATGGGGAGATGGCCAAGTGGCCATTAGGGCACAAGGCTTTGACACAAATGGATGATCCTAGGAAAACATTGCCCTTTCATAGTCTTTCCCAATTTTGAGCGATATTATTTTCTACTTTTCATTATGCTCAAGATAGCTAAAGATGCAGCCTAGATCTGTGAGCCTCAGGAATGACATGATGGGTTACATTGCTAAATCAACGTGGGGCTTCAGTTCTCAGACTTGAAGAGTTGTCCTTGTTTCCAAGCACATTTCAAAGCATGGATCTCTGAATTGGTGAAGTAAATGATGAGCAGGTGACTATTTGAATAACAAGGAATATTTTTTCCAAAAACTGTTCTTCAGGTGGTCCTTAGCCAGAGAGCATACTGGCCCTGGTTCCCTTAAACTGTGATTTATTTGTAGGTGTTTGATAAAACACAGGAACCAACTTATCTCCTATAGGATGGTATTCCTTAGAGCTACATGTTGCTGTGGGTAATGTTTTTAAAAAGGCTTATTATATATGTATGGAGTTATCATAGCATAACATGTCTAAGAAATCCAGTGAGCATATATTCATTTTATTTTAGTCAATTTTGAGAACTAAAGCTATAATTTTTATTAAACACATTAATGAAAAGCTTAAAATTTGATAATCGATTTGATCGCTGCCACTTGTATAGTCTCATAATAATACAGCATCCAGAAAGTCTTTTATTATTATTTCTTCCAAAGTTTGTGATGAGGAAAGTTTTTATAAAGTCAACTCAGAAAAACCCAACAGTGGCTCCCTCTATGAATCATTAAACGAGGTAAATTATTTTGTTTCCATAACAGTTCCAAATTTTCCCTACAGAACACTTTTAAAAATCACTCTCTGCTGTCTAAAAGAATGGAAAGCAGAGGCTTGAACAGATTTTTGTACACAAATGTTCGCAACGACATTCACGTTAGCCAAAAGGGAGGAACAACCCATCATCTGCAGATAAATGAAAAAAAAATGTAAGATATCTAGATGTCTAGTTTTTTTTTGTGTGTGTGTGTGTGTTTGTTTTTTAATTCATTTGGGATCTAAGTACAGCGCTGAA